ATGTATGTATATATATCACATTTGACAATCTCTAACACACACAATATCTAGCTCTAATATCTAAATAAGGAACCTCAAAACCTTGCTTTTTGTCTGTTTAAGCCTGTTTTGCCCATCATCTCCAACCAAAATGAGTAAATCCAAGCATATTTGCTATTTTTGGAGGATTAAATGAACTTTTCTTTTTCCTAACCCATGTTTTGAGTTGTTTAGTTGTTTTAAAATCCTAAAGCTGTTATGCTCCCTTGTCTTTCTAACCAAATATCTACGTAAATTGCAAAGAGGAGAACCCCTGGTGCAATATATAGGATTACTAGACTGGAATAACCAGTTGCGTTTACAGCAGCTATAAGATTACGAGGCTGGAATATCTAATCCGTGCTACCTTACGGGTACTTTGAAATCCTGTCATCCTTAATGGATGAGCATAAGGGCTTTTGAGATAGAATTACCCAGATCATGTGCACAAGATAAGTTCACAGCTTTTGGTCATCTCAAACCAGGCTGTCATCTAACTTTTATCTTTACTATTAATTTTGGTTCAGCTTTGCACCAATGGATAAAGGATGAAATTGAATCTGTGGGAAGTGAGCTAAACTCACAGGGACCCCACTCTGTACCTTTCAGAGCTGAAATGATCATTACCTCAATATCAGACTCATTTAGTCAGATGCTCCCAAAAATGTTCAGGGTTGAGAATTCCTGACATTTTACTCACAAACTTTAACTAAACCAGTGATTTAGTATAAGTTCCATTTTAGATCACTGATGGCGCTCAAAACAAATGCAAGTACAACTGACAGATTTGTCAACCAATGTTTATTTTTTTAATGTAAAGGCTGTTCTGCATGGTTGGTGAAGTGAAGATGCTGATTGATGTAGTTTAAATGTGACAAGTAGCTCTGTTGCAACGTGTCCTTCTTCTTCTTTTTTTCTTTTGTTCTTTTTGAACAGGAACAAAACCATTGAAAAGTAAAACGTAGTTATAAAAAAACAAAATAAAGCTTCTTAAAGGGGCAAAATATTGTAAAATCTACTCTTTTTGAGATTTATGTCTTGTGATAATGTTSTTCCTTCATCAAAAACATGCACTGAGTGTTGCTTTGACTCATTCATGCCTGCTTGAGAAATCCTGTCCTGAGTCATTCAGTAGAACAAAAATGGCTGTTTGGCCCTGGAACTGCCTTTTAGGTGCAGCTCCTCCTCTAGGCTGTAATCCTCCTCTAGGTAATTTAACATGTGACCAATAACAAGATTGTTACTAAAAGATGATGCAATTTCAACACTCAGAAGTACACAAACACCAATGTCATTCAGGTAAGCTGAAAAAACAACAACTCACGTTTTGTTCGGTTGTTTGTTCTATTTGTGATCTACGGTTACCAATTTTATTATGGTCTGTCTTCTTTAGCTTACACCATAATTTAGTAATAAATAAGTTAGTTCAACATTGATGTGTTGTGAGGATGAAATCTTACCAAGCTGAAACGTCATCTCTGTACTTCCTGCGGTTCTTCAGAAAACTTACTTTCCGGGTCCAACAGTAAAGTTCAATTGTATCTTGAGTTGTCATTTTCCAAAACCAATATTGTATAATGTTGCTGCTTTTTTAAGATTATTATTAAAACAAAGTAGACCATGACACTCCACGTTGTAAACGGCATGAAGCTGATGTGCAGAAATGGCCGTGAAGGGGTTCTAGGAGCTTCTTAAAGAGACAGAAGTATATTTATTTGAAGTCAAAAATTTTTTTTTATTCATATGTATTGAGAGCATTTTCATAACAACTGAAGACGACATATTTCCTTTATTTTGGTATGAATTTTATGCCTCAGAAACACATGTTATTGGCCCTTTAAAACTACGTGACAAACCAAAGATTTGTGTTAAATTGCTTCAATAGACATAGAACGCATCTATAAACAGGGTGCTGTAAGTTTTTTATTATAAATACTCATATAAGAACAAATTTCAGGTATTAAATCAAGCTAAATAAGCTATTTCGGTGGAATATTAAAACGTTTTTAATTTAAGTGTTAAACTGTAATTTATTTTGGCTAAAAAATGTTACTATTTTTATCAGGCGTGACTTGAAGTCATGAAGGAGTGCCAGAGGTGCTTCTCAACCTGTGCAGCATCAGTAACGTTCACAAATAACCCTGTCGATGGAGAGACTGCTTTGTCAACACAGCCTGTTTATCAGTAAGGTGATGGTGTCATCGGGAGGAGGGGAGGTTGCAGGGAGGGAGGAGGGACAGATTGATGGATGGGGGTCTGCATGGAAGGGCGGAGGGAGGGGCGTGAATTCCTCCGGAACCGTGTCGGTTCTCCTGAGATGAGTGACAATGCGGTAGCTGCATTCGACGTCATTCTGGAGTTCATATCTCATCCAATTACCTCCTCTTTTCCACTTTTACTGACACAAATCATTTTGCAGGGAAAATGACCGGCTGTTTACTCTTCTGTTCTGATCTGTACAGTTGATCACTGCCTCCCTGTTTTAATTAAATTATTTTAATACGTGTTTAAATGGCCAGTCATGCCTCAACTGACTGCACTCTCACTATCAAGTCAAGGTCATTGCATGGTTTTTGAGAATAAAAAGTGAAAGATGTTTAAATCGGCAGATTGATGTAGAACAGTGGTTCCCAAACTTTTTTTCTGACCCACAAAATATCCACGGCAAAAAATTGTGACCCTAAATATTACTGGTCTGAGTACACGAACTTCGTTAATAACTCTAGAACACAGGCTTTTTGTCAATCTAAACAGCTTGTACACAAAAATAAATACTTATTTATACTTATTTTGTGTTTTTGTAATAATTAGAGGGACAAAATTACATTAGCAATTATTTTATTACCCTTTAAATTGATTTCTGGAGATTATCCAAGGTGCTTCATGACCCATAATTGGGTCCCAAGCCCAACTTTGGGAACCAAAGTGCAGTGGTTCCCAAACTTTTCAGCTTTTGACTCACAAAATAACAGTAGCAGAGACCTGTGCCCCCAACTATTTTTGTATGATAAACATTTGTATCAGGTCAACAAAACATGGGCATAGTAACACTATTTATTATACTACATTTATCCATTTTAAATATACTAACCTCACTCCTTTGTAACAACTAAGGCAAAAATGTAATTAAATCAGGAAATCTTTTCACGACCCCACCTTAATGTTTCGGGAYCCCACTTTGGGTCCCGACCCCAACTTTGGGAAACACTGTAGAACACATGCATCTAACATCTGCATGGATTTTCCTGTGTCGATGCCATCAGGACACTTTAAACGGCTGTATGCTGAAGTTCCCATAAGGACACGTAATAATGTATGAATGTGTGGTAATGTATGTGAAAGCGTGGACTGTGAAGTCCTGAAAGAGTTCTCTGTGACCTTGAAGCCATGCGCCAGCTCGCGCCGCAATGTTACAGAGGACCAGCAGCTCCTGCAGCAGGACGACGGAAAGAGATGAAGAGATCCTCTAATGACCAAATAGTTCTCAGGTAACATAATATGCAACCCATCTTGCCAACTTCACTGTCCTGAAAAATAAAAATAAAAAAAGCTACACCAATAACTGTACCTGCAGGTTTTGGCTCTTTTGGAGAGAAAGTGCAGCAGTTTCTCTGGAGTTTACGATTTCAGTTCCTCAAAGTCCCTTTAATAAACCGACAAACGTTCCACAAGTTGAAACAGTACTACAGTTATACATTTTCCAGTGAGCTTATTTGTATTAATTCAAACTGGAGCTTGCACACATTTTGCATCAGGCAAATGACTGCAGAGATAATTCTTGTGTCCGGATTTGAAAACTACTTTGACAGTGCAGTCGGTATTACAATACTGATATCAAATGAAATACAAGTTTGTGTCAGTATAAATCAGGATGAAAACGAGAAGTCGAAGTCCTCGGGCTGACAGACATCACTGCAGGTATTAAGAGCTCTGACAAGTAGAGTAGCAAGGGGGAGAATATAGTCAAATCCCCAAGGTGATTTTGGATTGGAGGATCCTGCATGTGGATGCTTAGTTTGCAGAAAAAGGGGGGAATGAGTGGGTCCCACAGTCCCTCTGATCAGGCAGCGATTGGCTCCCACACAGTAAATCTCCTATCACAGAGCTTACCTATAAGCATCCCCGCTGGAAGAGGAGGGAGCAGCGAGAAC